ATCTTATTTTAAGAGTAAAATTACTAATTCCATTGGCAAACTATCTAATTTACCTACTCAAATTAAAGGTGAATACACTTAATTTAAGAAATTTTTACTTATTTCTAGATCATTTTTGCAGTGCAACTTACACACTGGAATAAGATCAAAATCTAGATAAGTCGTTTTTTCTTAAAATAAGTGCATTTATTCTTGAACTGAGAAAATAAAAGAGACATTTTGCTAATGGAACAAGACAATTTACACTTAAAATAAGAAAACACAACTGCATTGTCTTATTTCAAGTGCGTTTTATCTAAATATATTATTTCAAGAGTAAAAATACTCATTCCATTGGCAAATCGTCTTATTTAACTTCTCAAATTAAAATTAAATACACTTAATTTAAGAAATGTTTTACCTATTTCTAGATCGTTTTTTTCAGTGCAGTAGGAGATTCAGGGAAGCCGTGTCACTGCCCGGTCCGTCCTGGAAGCACCATCCGCTCTGCACATGTACGGACATATATATATATATATCCGAGTTTCCATAAATAATGTAATTATGGTACTAAAATCAATGATTTCTATCCTTAACTCACTAAGTAAGGCTAATACACATCTTTAAAAAAAAGCTTTCCTATTTATCTGATGCACTTTTGATGCTTTTTACATTTTCTCAGTTAAACGTCTTCTGTGACGTCATCATGGGACATGCTCAGAGCAGTCCGGCAATATGATTAAACCATGTTTATCTGCATTTTAGTTGTTTCTTTCTTTAAATTACGCACTATATAGCATAAGGTTAAAATGAAAGGAAAACATAAAACTCAAAAAGACTAGATTTATGTTTAAATCCAAAGCCGAAAAAGTTAGCTCCCGAAAGTAGCGCAGGATCCCATTTCCGTAAAGACGAGTGATAAAACAGAAAGGATTTTAAGGCATTTCTTTTTTTTCAGGAAATACATTATTAACTTTTAACACATATTTTAGTACATTTACTATTTTTGGGGATGTAAAAACCTAATTTAGGTCTTCCTAAGAAAATCGAGGGCGACCCGGATGTATATCTGGATGAGCATGCGCCATCAGCTCATTTCCCGGATCGTGCTTCTGGGAAGCATCGGATAGTGACGAGCCGGCTTCAGCTTGAGCTGCTGTTTTCTGCATGGTCCTAGTGCTCGACGAGTGTCTGTGTACTGTAGCGTAAAATTGTTTTTGGACGAAAATAAGTGCAGGGGAAATGTCTCCAGTGCGCACCGCCTAGTTACGGTATGTATCGGTGGATATATGCATGAGTTTGCTGATTAATATTTTGCAGTGGTTCCCCCCCTAGAGTTTGCACAGTGTAATTGCATGGCTGTGTGATGGAAATAAATTGAATAAAAGACTCGTTTTCAAAGTTTTTGAGTTATTTATTGACAGAACGGCTGCAACTGATGGTTAATTTGATAATCAATTTATCTGTCATTTCAATTGTCTGATTAATTGATTAATAATCAGATAGTAAAAGATGCCGTTTAGAATATTTTATGCTGAATTGAAACCAAGTGAATCTAAAACGATGCCACACTTTTATGGAGAAAAAAAAGGATTTTCCATTTAAAATGCCAAAGGTTTCTATAATCTTTTTACAATTTTGGCATAATACCTCCTCTGAGTGCTTCGCTCTTTCAGCTGTCGGCTTCAGTTAGTCAGTTTACTACGGTTTACGGTTAATCGATCACATCAGTAGGTGATGCTTGTTTGGAAAATCAATTAATGACGATTAACTTTGATGTTTAATTCTGTTACACAACAGAATAAACAGCTAAACTTAAAGCAATTGAACTTCAAATTAGATTATAGTTTACATAATTTTAATATAAAAAGACTTTTCTTTGATCATCTGGTGAAAAGGTTGGAGGGAGGTTAGAGCGATTGAAGGCGCGCAAAAAGTGTAAACAGAAGGGGGTCCCAGCAAGAAAAGTAAGGGAACAGCTACATTAGCCATTAGATCAATAAATTATTAAAGTTTAGCTTGACTTATGACTAAATGTTTTTTTGTTTGTTTGTTTGTTTAAATTGAGACTTAAGTTATTTTTATCATGCAAATTGTGGAGGAAAAAGCAACATCAACTCTAATATTCGGCCCAAAAACACCGGCAGCAAATATTTGGGATCGGTTTGACTGATGTATAATCAGTATCGGCCTGAAAAAAAAGGTATCGCTCTTATTAACACTGGCAATCTGAAAAATTAAGAGCAAATTAAAAGGAAAAAGAAGAAAAAGGAGACCAGAGCAGAATGAAATGGACCTTGTTTCCAGTTGATGAGCAAATCATCTGACCTTCCCTAAAAGGTGCCCAGGTTTTACCAGCACATTTTCTAACTCAACACCAACCAAACAGCTTGATTTAATGATGTTACTAAAGCTACTTGGTTTACTTTTGTTTTTTTATTGTTAGTAAAGGACTAAACAAGTTGCGACTCACCGCGAAGCCAGCGGAGGAGGTAGTGGTCATGCTGAGCCGGGAGGCTGTGGAGGACATCTTGAATCCGCTCCCGAAACTGAAAGCAAAAAATTTTTTTCCATTACAAATTATAATAACAAAATGAAAAAGAGAGAAAAAAGCAAGAGTTGAATCTGCCATCGTAGTTCTGTCCTTTTGGATAAATATGTAAAAAATACTCTGCATTCTTCATTTATGCATTTAATCTAGTTTGTAGATAATAATTTCATCAAATAAATTAACTAATTTGATCCAACATCGGTGATAAGTTTTAAAAACCTTCTCTTGTTAAGTTTCACACAGTAAATTAAAAAAATTCTGTCTAGTAAGATAAGATAAGGTAGTAAGGAAGGTTAGAAAATCTCTAAAATCAACAGTTTAGGCATCTATGCAAATAAACTAAAAACCTGGCAAGAAACGAACCTGGAAAAGAGTTTGGACTCGATCGCAGTTAGAACAAAAAGCTCAGCAGAAACTGTCCATCTAACCAAGACTTACAGTCTTAGATCTTCCCAGTCTTTTTGTGGTCTTGTTATGAGATTATATACTAAGAGCAGATTCTGTTAGCAGGTTCTGTTCTTTTGAGAAAAGAGAAAACATTTTTGTCATATTTTGCCGCTGATGGCTCACGTCATTCACCTCTAGCTCTGCTAGTTCTCTATTCTCATCACTGCTCATCTGATCCACCTGCTCCTGCTTCTATTTAAACTCCTTGATCCCAGCCATCATTGCCAGATTATTCTTGAGCCTTTGGCGTAGAGAGTTTTTGACCGTCACTAGTATCTAACGTTCTGTTTTCCCGATCCTGACCCATTTCTGTATTCAGACTTTTGAGCCTGCCTGTCCCTGTCTGATCTGTTTGCCTGACCCGTCTTCGGACTCCTGTTGGATTCTACTGTCGACTGAACCTGGATCTGCCTCCTTACTTCGCCCTGTGGATTATCCTGCCTTCCTTTGTCAGCTCGGACCATCTAGGCTGGCAGCGTCCGCTGCGCCTTGTCAGCCGACCGGCTCGAATCATCCTCTTTCTCTGGGTCACGGGCAGTGTTGGGCACGTTACTTTGAAAAAGTAATTAGTTATAGTTACTAGTTACCAAAAAGTAACTGAGTTAGTAACTGAGTTACTCCAAAATAAAAGTAACTAGTTACTAATAAAAGTAACTATTGCGTTACTTTTGCGAGTGTTTTTTTTTATTAATAACTGGGGATGTCTAATTCTGAAATCCTGTGTTTGGGTTGTTATAGATACTGCAACATGTAGCTATATCGATCGATCCATCCATCCATCCATCCATCCATCCATCCATATTTCTCTCTTTCTCCATATAGGCTAATGATCGCTCACGCTCTACGTAGTTCCCCTGTAACGCGCCTTTAGCGAGCATGCGCGTTTCCTGTCGCTTGTGTGTTGAATCATGCCGCCGCGCTGTGCGGAGATGCAGGGGAAACCGTATCTGATGGGAAAACGCAGCTCGACGTAACATCAGCATTTCCATCTGGAAAACGCTGTTTTGCCGATGGAGTCCTCCTCACTCTCCATCCTCCCCTCTCTCATGACGCATGCACGAGTCCTATCATGAAAAAAGGTTAATTGTGCGACCTGAGTAACGCGCAGTAACGGGGTGTCGGCAATGGTAACTGCGTTATAGTTACAGTAAGAGTAATCATTTTGATTACTCGTTACTAAAAAAAGGTAGCGGCGTTAGTAACGCCGTTACTTTCAACGCCGTTACTCCCATCACTGGTCACGGGCTGAACTGTCAAACAGGTTAGTGACTCACTCGTTCATAATCATCCTCCGTCAGAATATCGTCGTCACTAAACTGTGTTTCTCTTTTAAGGACGTTCCGGTGATAGAGGCCCTAGCGACTGCTTCTGCAGACCCGCTAGTTTAAGTTAACGCTTTTAAGTTATTTCACTGTCTGTCTTGCCTCAATTCTGTTATAAGATAAAGGAATAAAAAAAAGTTTGGAATAAAATTTGGGATACCATTGCCTTTTCCATTATTTACTGTTTGATACTGTTTACCGCTTTGACGGAAAGTAGAACGAATGAGTTCTTGTAGCGGTTCTCTCATTAAAGATGGTCAGAAGTGAAGGGTGCTTCTTGACTCCGAACAACTTTATTGCTCTTTGGGTAAGACAAGTAAGTTTGGCCTTCATTTGGACAGACAGACAGGTCACCAAACCAGGCAGAAATGTTATGATGCTCTCTATTACAGCACAATGAAAGTGCAGCAGACTGAAACCAAAGGCCCTCAACCTGGGCAAAAAATTTGGCCACTGCTGGACCCTGTTACATACATAATCTGAGCAATCCATGATAATCTATTATCATGGATTGCTAATTTTGTTTTCAATAAATTAGCAATATTAATTGAATTTAGTGTCAATTTGTAATCCAAGATATTTGTAGGACTCTACTTGTGCAATTAGTTGATTACGGATGAACACTGGAGAGTGCTGTCCAACTGCCCTCGTGGTCAAAGATCAGTTCTTGTGTTTTTTGGACATTAAGAATCAGAAAGTGTTCCTTGCAGCACTGAACAAAGGTTTTAATCTGCTGTCTGTAACTTATTATGTGTGATGTGTCTGAAATGAGGCATACATTTCTAATTTAGAGGAGGAAAGCGGGGACGAAGATGATGTGGAAGAGGACGCCAGGGCAGCAGAAGCTTGGTTTGGTGTCGAACTCAATGGGAAAGTAAATTATTCTTATTTCTTATTTCAACCGTTGCGTATATTAGCTGCAACATATGAATCAAGATGCTAAGACCGAAAACATCTGATTGACAGATGACCGTTGATATATGATTGGCCAAAAGATAACAGAAAAAACACAAATTTTAAGACAGGGTTTTTTTAAATAGAAATTTTCTAAATTTCTGGACAATATCGTCTGATAAAGAGTACATTTAAACTTCCCTACAACTTTAAGCAGTCAAAATCCAGTAATAACCTTGAGGTGAGGTTCAATATCTATAAACCATGGTGGTTTTGGAGCATCAATAGCAGAAGAAATCAAAGAAATATTCAATTTAGTTTATTTTTATAGCACCAATTCAGAACACGTCATCTTTAGACTGCTGGAGGACATAAAAAACCCAATTTCATCATTCTGCTTCATTCTATCTCTATTCTCCCACTCTGCAGAATCTGTTAGTTTAATCTCTAACGTTCTGCTCTCTCTGCTTTTTCTCATAGTAGCTTCATCTGGTCTGTGACTCCATCCTGGAGAGAAATATCAGCTGGGCTGCTGCCATCAACACCTTTGTTTATAGATGTTGGAGATCGGCCTGTTTTTCAGTGTAGTCCTGTTTCTCTGACTGTGACTAACTGGATGTGTTATCTTCATCCTCTGACATGGGAGCTGGCTTGGAGCTCGTCTGCCTGGCTGTGTGTTACAGATCTGATCTGGAGAAGTGTAAAGTGCCTTGAGATTCAGTTCAATTCAATTTTATTTCTATAGCCCAAATTCACAACACATGTCATCTCAAGGCACTTTATAATTCAACAGATTATCCAGTCAAATTAATTCAAAGATTTCTATCTAAGGAAAACCAGCTGATTGCATTGACTCATTGACTCTTCAGCAATCCCTCACACTAAGCATTCTTGTAGCGACAGTGGAGAGGAAAAACTCCCTTTTAACAGGAAGAAACCTCCAGCAGAACCAGGCTCAGTATGAGCAGCCATCTGCCGAGGCCGACTGGGGTTCAAGGAGACAGAAGCAGAGATACAAAAAGCAGCTGTAAAAAGAAGCCCCATGCATAGTTGTTTACAAAATCACAAATCGCAGTTATTAAGCGATTATATACTTGCACAGCATGACATTGTGATTGCGATTAGATCATTTGTGCAGCACTAATATAGATTCTATGAAGGCCTAACTTTCCAAAGTCACATTCTAGCGTAATGGCAATCTCTGCAGTTATCACTTTATAAGCAAAGGCCATTTAAGCTCACTAGTTAGCTCTGCGCTGCCGTAGCGCAGAGGTCTATCTCCATAAATGCGAGACCCACTTATACGTAATTATAAATAAAAATTGCTAAGGCTAAAAATTAGACTTTCAACTCATAGATAATGAGATACTTACGTAAAATGGAAATTTGTGAAATTACACACTGTGCTTGAATTTTTAAAATCATGGCTTGTTACCTGCTTTTAGTTTTGATTGAGTAAAAAAACTAACAAATTGATTACTTCTGTCGAGTGTTTCCTGTTAGAACAATCTGAAAAAAAACGTTATTTAAACAAAGATGCTAAGGAAATGTCATCCATTTCGAAAAATATTTCCAGTCTCTGCTTAAGTCCAGATTAAAGCAAAAAAAGAGGTATGTTTTCACCACAAGCTGAATCAGTGTCCTTGAAAAGTTAACAGCAGCAGCCATCAACCTCACAAAAAAAACAAAACCCCTGCCAACAATCTGCACTAAGATCTTCAGAAATGAGAGATTAGTGATTCCTTTCTGACCTCAGTGAGGCTCTCCGCCTGCTTTGGGCTCAGGTCTCCGATTCGTCCGCTCATGTCTCAGCTGTGGTTCTGTCAGAGCTGCGGCTGTGAATGAGAGTGGGAGGAGGTAAATCCAGGTAGACCAGTCAAAAGGCCACGCCTCTTCTCACATTTTCCCTCTCAAACACACAGAGAGGAAGGTGGACTTTCACCCTGCCAAAACTGGTTACCTGCTAAAAACTTCAGGAAGGCAGTGATACCATGGTGAACATTTGGACTGCAGCTCAAAACACACCCCCAAAAAAATCCAGACGCTAATTATAAAGTCCTTACAATGATATGCTTATTTTCATCCACCTTAAAGTAGTTTCTCACCTGGATTCAGTGACTCTATGTTGATTCCTCTCTTCCCCGCTGATTCAAATCAGCAGAAGTTATTACATAAGTAGGGTTGAGCAATAAATGTATGCAATCCGCTCTTACTCACATAAGCAATAGAACATTTCGTACGTGAAAATAAAGAAAAAAGGCCCTCATTTGTTTTTCGTTTATTTTGGGAATACTTGGCAAAATTATCCCTGACCCCCGTACTTTTCCACAAATCATACCAAATTAGCTCTTTTGAAAAATCTTAGCACCCCCAAGAAAAATGCAGATTAATATTTTGTTATTGAAGGTAATATTCTTGGTTGTTATATGTTCCTCAAAAACACACAAGTTCCAATTAAAAATATATTTTATAGTAAAAAAAACCCAAACATCTAAATGCACAAAATCTTTAATAAATGTTTAAGAAAACATTTATTAAAACTGTATTATCAGTACTAAAACGTTATTTGTAAAGTTTTCAATCATTTGAAGTGTCAGTACATATTTTGGTGTGACTGTCCAGCTTCAACTACTGTACTATAAACGTAATTAAAATGACTTTAAATGTATTCATGTGTATTTTTATGCCATTTTTGGCATTATTATCATATATAATTTACAGCCCTGTAATTATAAAGTGCTTTTATACCTATCATAGATAAGTGTTTCAAGATGACGTGTGTTGTGAATTGGCCTTATCAGGGTCAGAATCACTTTATTAATCCTTTGTGGGAAATTATTTTCTTACAGTGCAACCAGAACAGAGAAAAAGAAGATTGTATATAAATTAACTGA